CATGCACCAGGAACATCTATCTGAAGGAACACCTGTGCAGCCCCCGAGAGAGCCGGCCGGCGGTGTGCCGCTCCCCCGCGGAAGTGGGGAAAGTGGCAGGGGGAACCGCCCTTCCACGGAGGTGGAGGGATGGCGGCCAACCCGGGAAGGACCAGCAGCAAACCCGGGGAGGGCCGAGCAGACCAAAGAACAGCGCAGGGTCCTGTGTCGTTCCTCCACGAAGAGGGGGAGCGACACCCGTGACATACAATCAACCATTTGAAAATGAACGCTTCTGTGGCCTTTGCTATATGCACCATGTTGTAATCTCACCATCTGTGGCTCCAAACATTACATCATTCTACAGTAAAATCCTTTATCCTTTAAATAGTTTCTCCCAATTCCTCCATCCTTCCGCCCCTGCAAATCTCCAACTGACATGCTGCCTCTACCGAGTTACCTACTTGGGTATTTCATACACAGGTGTTGTAAAGGTAAGTTTGTATCTGGCTTCTTTCCCTGAGCACACCCTAGTCAGGGTCCACCCAAGGTCTGTGTTGTTACATGCATAGGTACCTCACTCCTTTTTAGGCTGAATAATATCGTACTGCATGGAGATAACAAAATGTATCTTCGTAAAGTGCAACATTTTCATGCTTGCTAAAAGTATTGGCCTGTAAAATGTAAGCATTAATGGACCCGCAGTTCCTGCCACCCTGTGGTGACGCTTCACCAGCCGTAAAAGCTTTGGACTTTCCCAGACCCACAACAGCCCCTGCTCTGCTACAAACCCACGCGCGTCAGTTATGGCAGGTGTTAGAAGAGGTATCTCGTGGAGTAGGCTGGATCGATCTGGAAATGCGGCGTACCTGGTCACGACGATAAAATCTGTAGGCAACATCACACGCAGACACCCGGACCCAGGAGAACACAGTCTACGGTCCTGTCTACCGCAGCATCTCATGAAGACAAGCTTTGTCACCTATCCTGAGCAGTCGTGACCCAACACAGGAAAAGGAAATCTCCCTGCTGGGCTGGATGGTGGGACGGCAGTGCGCGCCTCTCCCGCCCAGGTGGGCAGGGGAGCTTCCACGCGAGCCAGCAGCCAGTGGCCGAGGGCTCGCAGCACCAGCGCCATGTCTGCTCTGAGGTCCCCCGTGCTCTGAGTCAAGCGAAGGCTCAGCCTCGTGGCCGTCAAGCTCAGAAGCACCGGCCAGCACCTGCCCGTGAGTACAGCTCACAGCAGCCCTCAGCACATGGCAGGAAGGAAAAAACAAAAGGCTAGCCCACTGTGCCCCACTGAATCCTAACGCGTCTCTTACACAAATACCGAGCCCCTTGGGAGCTTCCCTTCAGCTGGAGCAGGCAGCGTCTCCACAGGTGGTGCTGCCTTCTCAGAATCAACACCACCCGGACGGGAGCAGCCTTCCAGGGCAAGCGTTTCGTCTGCCCCGAGGAGCAACGTGGACTGTGAAGTGCGGTGTCCCTTTTATGTTTCTGGAGAGGATATTATGTCTGCAGTCTAAAGGATTAATTGAGTGGAATATCCAATAGTCTCTGATCACGAAGTCTTAGAAAAGTTTAGTGTTATTTGATCCAGCAGCACAGGGAAGCTTTTTCTGTCTGTTACCCTGTAGCTCCCAATTGCTAAACAACAGGGTTTCCCTGAATACTAGCAGTCAGCAGTCTCTATTCTAAAGGGTGGTATTGACTTGACTGTCAAACGTTTCCCAAAGTAGGCAATTTTACATTTTCCCCAGGCTTAAATGAATGTTTTCTTTTGAGTGACTGAGACGGTTAAACACTTTACGGGGCTCTCACATACGTGTAAGCAGGTCCCCTCCTTCCCAGTGGAGCTGACTGCAACCCAGCTCGGAACTAAAACAGGTGGGAGAGCTGCCGCCTGCCTGGCAGGGGGCTGGGACTTCTCGGAGACGGAAAGGCAGGGCCGGGACTCACTCAGACAGCTAAGGCGTGGAATCCAGTTCCCATTCTTCCCACGCTGCTGGCATAGATACAGAATATGAATGTCAGTTTTTGACTAAAATATTATTATTTGAAGGCCTAAGCCACCAACAGTAACAAAATCCAAACTGAAGCCTCGTGTTTTGTCTCAAATTAATAGGAACTCTTCTTGAAGCTTTCTGTGACTCTGACTTATATTTCAGGGGATTTTCTGCTCTTGAACTTCTCCTTCCACAGAAAGTCTGTCTCTAAAAGTGTTCTTAATGATGTTCTCACAGCAGGTGGGAGTTCACCAAAATTAGCCTTCTCCATATCCCTAAGAGAAATTAAACTTTTATGCATTCAAACAAAACTTGCCATGTGACAGAATCAAGTTCCTGTCACATTTTTAAACCAGCATTAATTGTGAATTATGGATCACTCGCAAGAGTACAACACCAAAGTAGCTATTGGGCCTCTTTCCAAAGTTGGAATGAATTTATGACACATTTGATATTGACCAATTATTTATAAAGTCTATTAAATTTGTCAGCAGTGCTGGTAGGAAAAGATTTATTAGAACAACTAATGTAAAATGTAATGAAATAGATTAAGTCTCCTTATGAAATATTAATATCCACTAAATCTGGTAATTGTACGTCTATATTTGCAAGCTCTCGTTTGCAGTAGTCTAAATCCAAGCTGCAGATGGTGGTGTAGGAGCTCATGGCCAGGAGCATCACGCTGCAAAATTAAATGAAGTTTCTTTTTTTAATTTTGAAGATTCATTTTTATTTTTAATTTAAAAGGCAGAGTGACAGAGAGAGGGATACTGCTGGAGGGGAGAAGGAGGGTGGGGGGCCTCTGCTGCAGAGGGAAACCCCTTAACGTGGAAACTCAGGCGCTGCGGCGTCCGCAGGGCCCCAGGCGCTGATCATAAACCAGTTCTGGAAACGCCAGTGTTAGCTCCTGGGGAAGCGGATGCCTCTCTGCAGGGGGAGGTGGGTGCCCCAGGTGTGTGTGATCTGCAGCCAGTGCGGCACCCACCGCAGGGGGTGGGTGTTGAGCTCAGCACCCGATAAAGGACATTAGACAGGGTGCTGCCCGTTCTGTGGGGCAGTTTCCCGGAGGGTCAGAGGAGCGCTTTAGAGAGAAAGTGCATCGTCTCAGCTGGAGAGACTCCAGGGGCCCGTGACACAGATCCAGCGAGAGCCAGAGGTGGCGGCGGAAGAAGGAAGCCGTGGCTCCGTGACCGTCTTCCCTGTGCTAAGCTTTAGAATCAGTGCTTTTAAAAACATTTGAGTCAACATTTATTAGCAAAAAGGAAGGCAGGTGTTTTGACGAAAGGGAACGGTGCAGTTCAGGCCCCACTATGGGCAAAGAGAACAGAACATCCGAAGTTAACTGGAAGCCGTCCCCTCAGTGGGCTTGCGTAGCAGCCGTGTGCTCTCCTTGCACAGAGAAAGGTGCCCCCAAAGCCTGGGCAGCACGCTGCATCCCTCCGTGGCCAGTCTGGTCCCCCTGGCTGGCGCTGCAGCCGCTGCCCAGATAGACCCCAAACGACTGGGTTCCACTTCTCTAGTTCTCTGGTTCTCAGTAGCCAGGTGAGGGGAGGGAATATTCATGCCAAGCCTGCAGTCGATGGGATGTCTTAATAGAAATCTTACATCATAAAAATTTGATGTTGGAGGAGTCTTTTAAAAGACCTTCAGCTTGGAGTCTCTGCAACGCCGAGTGTGGCGTGTTTTATAGGTGTGAGATAATTATTAAGTGGAATAATTTAATTAGTTATAGATCACATGCTACCAAACTGCACACAGCTGTAAGCCATTTAGGATAACGCCAAAAACTTTATTATGTGATGATCTCTGACTCACTCCCCCAAATATTTTTTTAAAAAATCTATAATCTGCCTAAGTAATGGTTATTAAATATCATAATTTCCTTAGTATTTTCTTAAGTAATCTGGTTTAAAAATGAATTTCCTCAGACAGGAACACAGATTCCAAATCTTCATACTCAGGATATGAAAGCCATTTCGAATCACCCCAGAGTCGAGTATCCACGTTAATAGTTTTGTCTTTCAGATATAGAGCAGTTTAATCAGCGATTTCTGTTATTTTTTCCCTCTGAAGGGACAAGTGCTCAAAGAGGCAGCGGCTCCCGTGTGCTCCCTGTTTCCACCTGTGTGCTCCTCAGGCCAGGTGTCCGGGGCTGTGGGACAGGAAGGGCTGCAGCACCTGCCTCCCGGGAGCCTCCCGCTGACTCCCCCGGGGTGTCCCGGTGTCCTGCTGGGTCCTGTCCCTTTCCTAAATGTCTTCTAGAACAGCAGTAGCAGGGGATGTCCCTGGCCAACAGAGCGAGCGAATTCCATCTCTTTTGCAGTCCAGTGTGTTTTAACATCTCACCTGCATCTTCGCGTCTAAACTCTAGGAGTGTCCACTTAGCTTGCGTCCGAAGCTGCCAGTGCAGACCTAAGGACTCGCTTTGCAACCAGAATAGTGACTTTTATGCCACCGCTCACCTTACCCTACCTATCAAAGTCCACGGACTGTGTAGCCGCCAGCCCTAATTTTCTGGAACTGTCTCACTCACTGTTTCTCTGTGTATTTTGTTCAACTCGGGAGGTCACTGGTGAACCCGCGTTTGGGGCAGTGTTTACTCTGCTTCCTGAGACGCCCACCGCCACACAGCAGCGCCTGTGCCGACTCCTGGCTGTGCTCCTGGCTCCCGCTTCCTGCTGCTGCAGGCCCGGGAGGCAGCAGGCGATGGCCCACGTTGTTACGAAACTGACTTGCTTATTAATATATTTCTGAACTTCATAAGCTGTGCGGGTTCTTGCCACAGATTCAGAGCAGAACCCTGAATACCGGCTCAAACAGACCAGAGGACGTGGTAAAATGTTAAGGTTTTTATTCAGTGAGAGAAATGCATAGGCGAGTGAGGGCTCTAAGAGAGAAAGGGAAATCCAGGTCCCTACCAGGCAGAGCAGGCCCAGGGCCACGTGCGGCAACATTTGCTAATGAGCTGCTACTGGCCGCTGAAGAGCCCCCGGGGGCCTGAAGGCCACGCCCCCAAGATGGCTCCCGCGAAGAAGGGCGGCGAGAAGAAGGGTCGTTCTGCCATCAACGAGGTGGTGACCCGCGAGTACACCATCAACATTCACAAGCGCATCCATGGCGTGGGCTTCAAGAAGCGTGCCCCTTGGGCACTCAAAGAGATCCGGAAGTTTGCCATGAAAGAGATGGGAACTCCAGATGTGCGCATTGACACCAGGCTCAACAAAGCCGTCTGTGCCAAAGGAATAAGGAATGTCCCATACCGCATCCGCGTGAGGTTGTCCAGAAAACGTAATGAGGATGAAGATTCCCCAAACAAGCTCTACACTTTGGTTACCTATGTACCTGTCACCACTTTCAAAAATCTACAGACAGTCAATGTGGATGAGAACTGATTAAAGTTGTAAAGCTGAAAAAAAAAAAAAAAAAAAAAAGGGCAGCCAAAAAAAAAAAAAAAAAAGAAAGGGCCGGCCCACCGTGTTCCAGGTTATGTAGGCTGCCTGGCAGGTGGGCATACAGGTCGGGACAGGAAGGGGCCTGAGATCACGCAGGGGCGCGGTGAAGGTGTGGTGAAGGCGTGGTGAAGGCATGGTCTTCCAGCTCTGAAACCTTGTCGCTCCCCCTCTTCACGGAGGAACGACACAGGACCCTGCGTTGTTCTTCTGTCTGCTCGGCCCTTCCCGGGTTTGCTGCTGGTTCTTCCCGGGTTGGCTGCCGTCCCTTCCACCTCCGTGGAAGGGCGGTTCCCCCTGCCACCTTCCCCACTTCCGCGGGGGAGCGGCACACCGCCGGCCGGCTCTCTCGGGGGCTGCTCAGGTGTTCCTTCAGATAGATGTTCCTCTTAGATGTTCCTGGTGCATGTTGTCTCTCTCCTCCTTTATAGTCCTCTTCCGCCAATCCCAACTCTGCTACCCACACGCCGAGTACACTGCTCTCCTCCAATCAGGAGCAGGATCAGCTCCTGCAGGTCATCACTCAAGTTGGCGAGAGGCAGCTGCATAGAAGCTGTTTACACCTCTCCCAGCGCCATATTGTGGGAGAGCAGATGTATAGAATAAGTCTTAATTCCAGTAACAGTCTAGTCCAAGTTGCTCCCCACAAAACCTAACCAGTTTTATCCTCTCTGCCTGCCCCTGTCAGCAATTCTGCTTTGAAAGGAAAAAAAATTACATCGTGAGTGAAACTTGTTTTTACAAATAATAACCACACATATATAATACATAACTCTTTCTTAAAACTTCAGTACTAATTTAAAATCCAATTTGTTTTTAAAGTTATTATTGGTTGTTTCTTTAAACTGACAAAAACATTGGAATTTAGAGATAATGTTGACGACAATATAGTATCTTTTTTTAAAAAAATTTTTGACAGGCAGAGTGGACAGTGAGAGAAAGGTCTTCCTTTTGCCGTTGGTTCACCCCCCAATGGCCGGCGTGGCTGGCGCGCAGCAGCCAACGTATTGCGCTGATCTGAAGCCAGGAGCCAGGTGCTTCTCCTGGTCTCCCATGGGGTGCAGGGACCAAGCACTTGGGCCATCCTCCACTGCCCTCCTTGACCACAGCAGAGAGCTGGACAGGAAGAGGGGCAACCGGGACAGAATCCGGCGCCCCAACCGGGACTAGAACCTGGTGTGCCAGCACCGCAAGGTGGAGAATTAGCCTAGTGAGCCATGGCACCACCGACAATATATTATCTTTTAAATGGTGGAAAATAAAGTACTCTTTATAACAGCATTTGTAACTGAAAAATGAATTGTCCACCTGCCAACAACATGTGACTATATTTTCAAAAATAAGAACAAAAGCAGCTACTTACCCCAAATCACATTTTTCAAGTAATGTTTTCAGGTAATGTTTTTATTAGGTTGTGTGTTGCTCAATGGAAAAACACAAGCAGAAATACTTGTGTATTGTTTAGGTTAGAGACACATTGGCGAGTTTAATATTCCAATTTGTTAAGAAATACATTTTGTATATTTGAAAAATTATGTAGTAGACTTATAAATGGCCTTAGAAATAACACTTGCATTGAACAAAAATATATTATCCACTTAAAAATGCATACTGTCAAGTTTTCAGCTCAAGTAGCTGACGTCATCCACCACATGAACGCTGCATTACGAGCCAGCAGTTCCTTTTCTGGTGTACGCCCGTGGAAATAAGATCAGAATCTCAGAGACACCTGCAGTCCATGGTCACTGCAGCAAAATTCACAGTAGTCACCATGTGGACACAGCGTAAACATGGGTTGGCAGATGAGAAAAGGTGTTATAGATCCACACAGTCTGGGCTTTAAGAAAATAAATCCTGCCATTTGCAAGACCACACATGAACCTGGAGCACGTGATGCTAGCAAAATAAGCCGGACAGAAGAGACACAGCCGAAACCGCAGGGGTGCCTGGCGGTTGCTGGCTTGGGCTGGAGGGAGGAATGGGAAGCGTTGTTGGTCCAGCGCTACAAAGTCTCACTTTCCCAACATTATGGTTTCTGGGGCTCTGACAGCAACGCCGTGACTGTGGTGAACTACACTTGTCCTCCGCTAAGACAGCCGTCTTAGGTACCCTCACCAAAGCGAACAGAAAGGCAGAAATGAATGGTCACTGTGAGAGGTAATGAATTTGCTAGTTAGTTTCATTGTGATGGTCATTTAATCATGCATTTGTATATGGAATCATCGAAGTGTGCATACACATTATTTATATATATATATATATATATACACACTTTTTAATTGTTAATTATACCTCAGTGGAGCTGAAACTTAAAATCTTTAACACTCGGGGTACCCGGAGTCTGGTGTTTCAAGGACGGTCTCACTACTGGCTCTGCGTATAGTATGCGTTTCTAAAAATGTTTCCAGAGGGTTTCAGACTTAGTGTTCTACCTGGGCAAAGGGTGCTTAATTCCGAGTAACGTTTCCATGCAGCTGTGCACGGAGGGATGCAGCGCCGCGGAGTTCCTGCCGCTGTTCCTGTCCAGTCGCTGCTCCCCCTGCCTCCTGGGCGCCCCTGTGCCTGGCTTGCAGCTGCACCACTGAAGGGCGGGGTCTGATGTGAGAGTGGCCTGCGCCGGCCCTGCACCAGTGCTTCCCAGCGGGAGAGACAGCAGCTCCAGCAATGGAAACCAGCGCTAACACTTCCCTTGTGACTTCGTTCTTGATGTAAAAACAGATCTTACCTAGTAGAGATCATCTGAAAGACACATTGAAAGAGCAAACAAGAGAATTCCGGTTCTACCTAGTCGCGTCACTGCAGGAAGAATGGCTCTTGTTATTTTGATGAACTTAGTACTTCACAAACACACTTCCAGCAAAGGCCCTGTGCCTGTCATACAGGCATTTTATAGTCAACTTTTAGTGCCTTTTGAACTTCACAGACTAGTGGAAAAAACAGTGTTCTATAAGAGAAAGCCTGCATCCTGAAGAGTTCAATATCTTCCAGATTCAAAAATGTTTGTAGGCTCTTTGACTCAAACTTCTTATTTATTTGTTTCTGTTAATTTCAAGAGAATGAGAGAGAAGTAGAGACAGAGATCTACTGGTCCCAGTGCCAACAACAGCCAGGGCTTGCCAGGAGCCCAGAATTCAGTGTGGGTCTCCCATGTGGTTGGCAGGGACCCACCTACTTGAGCCATCTCCTGCTGGCTGCCAGGGCATGCGTTAGTAGGAAGATGGAATTAGGAACAGAGCTGGGACTCGGAACCAGTCATTGTGTTATCCATATGAGCATCCCAAGTGGTATCTGGACCACCGCACCAAAGACATGACTTGGACTATTACCTGTGACTGCGATGATGAACCTCAATGTTGGTCATGCTTCATCTGGTATTTTTAAAATATCTGCAGGTGGAGCTGGTGCTGTGGCGTAGCAGGTTAAGCCACCGCCTGCAGTGCAGGCATCCCATAAGGGCACCGATTCGAGTCCTGGCTGTTCCACTTCCGATCCAGCTCTCTGCTATGGCCTGGGGAAGCAGCAGAAGATGGCCCAAGTCCTTGGGCCCCTGCGCCCACATGGTATCGATCCCCCTCTTCGTGGAGGAACGACACAGGACCCTGCGCTGTTCTTTCGTCTGCTCGGCCCTCCCCGGGTTTGCTGCTGGTTCTTCCCGTGTTGGCTACCGTCCCTTCCACCTCCGTGGAAGGGCGGTTCCCCCTGCCACATTCCCCACTTCCGCGGGGGAGCGGCACACCGCCGGCCGGCTCTCTCGGGGGCTGCACAGGTGTTCCCCTTAGATGTTCCTGGTGCATGCTGTCTCTCTCCTCCCTTATAGTCCTCTTCCGCCAATCCCAACTCGGCTGCCCACACGCCGAGCACGCTGCTCTCCTCCAATCAGGAGCAGGTCCTGCTGTTTATTGGTTGAACTGGAGGCAGCTGGGTAGAAGCTGTTTCCTCCTCTCCCAGCGCCATACTGTGGGAGAGCAGATGCATAGAATAAGTCTTAATTCCAGTAACTCAGTCCAGTCCGGGTTGCTCCCCACAACATGGGAGACTCGGAAGAAGCTCCTGGCTCCTGGCTTTGAATCAGTGCAGCTCCGGCCATTGTGGCCAACTGGAGAGTGAACCATCGGATGGAAGACCTCTCTCTCTGCCTCTCCTCTCTCTCTGTGTGTATCTCTTACTTTCAAATAAATAAATAAATCTTAAAAAAAACTGTGTAGATATTTGGAAACTCCTACTGTAAGCATGGTTTTTTTTTTTTAAAGATTTTATTTATTTATTTGAAAGGCAGAGTTACAGAGAAGCAGAGAGAGAGAGACTTCCTTCCTTCTGCTGGTTCACTCCCCACATGGCCGCAGCAGCTGGAGCTGGGCCAGTCTGAAGCCAGGAGCCAGGAGCTTCCTCTGAGTCTCCCACGTGGGCACAGGGGCCCAAGGACTTGGGCCATCTTCTACTGCTTTCATGGGCCATAGCAGAGAGCTGGATCAGAAGTGGAACAGCCAGGACTGGAATCAGCACCCAAATGGGGATGCCGGTACTGCAGTGGTGGCCTCACCTGCTACTCCACAGAGCCAGCCCCAAGAATGTGCTTTCTATCTCAATGTGAGCACATGACTATCTGATGGTCAGAATTCCAGTGGGCCTTAGCATAATGACAGGATGAAGAGACCTTTCACCAGATCAGGGATGAGGATGTGAAACCAATATTGTGGAGAAGGACAAGAAGTGATGTGGCTTTAACGGACAGTTGCTGTGTGCAGGCAGCTGGGAACTCCACCCATCCACATCTCCTGTCCATTTCTGTTAGGCATTTCTACCAGGCCTCTAGCACCTAGAGGGTGATGATTGTTCATTGTGCGTACCCCGCATCTAATATGGTGTTGAACTGAGAGTGGGGGTTTTGCTAAAACTTCAAAATCTTAGTGGCTTGTAATTAAAAAGAGTATTTTCAATCTGGATCAATCAGCATGGATTGATGAGAATAGGAGGCTGTCTCC